CGGCACGGCGGAGGCAACGGCGGGTACCGGCGGCTGCGTCGCACCGTTCGGCACCACGCCGCGGCGGGACGACCTCATCCCCCATCTCTTCCTTCGTAGGCGTCCGTGGGCTCCACCAACCTTCTCCAGATGATGTACCGGGAGCCAGCCCGGTGGTCCTACACCTTCCAGACCTTCTCCTGCATCAGCCGGCTGAAGGCGATGCTGGAGCCGCCGCCCGAGCGGCTCACCGGGACCCCCCACCCTGTGCGGGTCTTCGAGCGCTCCGTCTACAGCGACAGGTACCCAGCGCACCCAAATTAAAACGGGAAAGAAGAGGGGTGAAGGGATGAAACGGAATAAGGAGCATCCCCGCGGCCTGGCTTGTTGCCCCTGGGACCCCCGGGGGGAGCAGAGCCCACGGCTGTGCCCAGCGAAGCCCGGAGCGATGCTTAATTATAGAAATGTGCTTGTTGAATAATTTGGGGCTTTGTTATATCCCAAATAATTCCTGCTTGCAGCTGCCCCATCCTCACCCGTGTCAGGCGGCGGCTCGAAATCCCTCAGGTGATGGATGGGCTCGGTAGCGGTGAGCTGCGCCGGGCGGCTGCGTGTCCCCCATCATCGCTCAGCCCCAAATTAAGGATTTCCTCCTTAATTAAACACCCGCGGTTCCCCGTTGGTGCAAAAAGGGTGGAAAAAATGGCCGTGAAGCTGCCTGGGCGTGGGGATGGCTTGGAGGTCCCGATGCCGGCGATGCCGGCTGCCCTGTCCCCTCTCTCCGTCCCTTCCCAGGTACGTCTTTGCCAAGAACCTCTTTGAGGCCGGGCACCTGCAGCCGCTGGAGTGGGCCATTTACCAGGACTGGCACGGCTTTCTCCTCCGGCAGCTGGGGCCCCGCGCCGCCCTCCACGGCTTCCTCTACCTGCGGGCAACGCCGCAGGTGGGTGCCGGTGAGAGCCCCCGTGTTCAGCGGGGAGGGGGATGCGGCAGGCGTTCGGCTCCGCTCGGAGCCCGGCGAGCTCCTGAAATTGCCAAGACATTGGGTTTTAACCATAAATCGCTGGCCCGGAGGAGTGGGGCCCGCTCCCATTCCCATGGGAATGTCGGTGGGAGTTTTGCTATGGATCCTAGAGCGGATTTTGGGGAGGGAGGGCTGCAGCATCATCCGGGGATGCCCAGTGCCCGACTGCGGTCCCTCCCCTGGGGCTGCTTTGTCGGACACTGACATCCCGTTAAGCTCCCACCTCCCTGCATCCCGTTAACCTCCTTGTATCCCGTTAACCTCCCTGCATCCCGTTCATCCCGTTACCTCCTTTTATCCCGTTAACCTCCCTGCATCCCGTTAACCTCCCATCTCCCTCCCATTAACCTCCTTGTATCTATCTCTCCCCCACATCCCGTTAACCTCCCATCTCTCCCGTCTCTCCCGTTAACCTCCCATCTCTCCCGTTAACCTTCCCTCTCCCGTGTGGGTGCAGACGTGCCTGGAGCGGCTGCGGCAGAGGGCAAGGAGCGAGGAGGGGGGGATCCAGCTGGGGTACCTGCAGCAGCTTCATGCCCAGCACGAGCGCTGGCTGGTGGAGAAGACCACGGAGTGAGTCCGAATCCGTCCCCCGTGGCGCTCCCCCCTGGCATCCAGGCCAGCCGCGGTTTTGGGGTGACCCCCCTGATTTTGGGGGTTTACTTGGTTTAAACCCCCCTCTTTAGGGAGGGTTTAGAGGGAGGGAGAAGTAAACCCTTCTCTCCCTCCCTTCTCCAGGATCCACTTTGCGGACGTGAAGCACGCGCCCGTCCTGGTGCTGGATGTGGACAAGGACTTCGAGCACGACGCGGCCATGCAGGGCGTCCTCATGGCGCAGGTGGGCACAGCCGAGGTGGCGCGGCTCGGCGGCATCCCGCTGCCGGGAGCGCCGGGACCGCGGTCGGAGTCGTGCTGACCTCCGAGCCCTCGCTTCATCTTCATTTTTCCATGGAAAAAATAATTTCCACACCAAGTCCAAGCTGGTTTAAACCTCAACCATCCCGGTGCCATCCTGGCACCATCCCGGCGCCATCCTGGTGCCATCCCAGTGCCGCGCTCTCAATCGGCTTCTCCTTGCAGGTGGAGGCTTTTGCGACGGCGCTGTGAGCCGAAGCTTTGCTGTTGCGCCCTGACCCTCTCTGAGCACCCTGGCGGCGGCAGCAT